ACCAAAATGTAGTTTGTAACGGAATCTATTAAATTACTTAAAGTGAGTAATGTAATCTGAATACTTTGGATTACTTGATTTGCTGTAGCGAAGCAAAGACAAGGAAATAGTAACATAAAATGTTTTGTCTGCTAAAAGAAAATAAAAAGCCCAGACTTTACTGAACCGTATTAAAAATATTATTGATAGAGAAGGAGACATGTCCACGCAGCATGATTTAGTCCTGTTAAATCCTGTTTTAGTCCTGGTTTAGTCCTGTTAAATCCTGGTTTAGTCCTGGTTTAGTCCTGTTAAATCCTGTTTTAGTCCTGGTTTAGTCCTGTTAAATCCTGGTTTAGTCCTGTTTTAGTCCTGGTTTAGTCCTGGTTTAGACCTGGTTTAGTCCTGTTTTTAGGCCTATTTTACACCTGGTTTAGATCTAGTTTAGACCTGGTTTTAGTCCTGGTTTAGACCTGGTTTAGGTCTAGTTTAGATCTAGTTTAGTCCTGGTTTAGACCTAATTTAGACCTGGTTTACATCTAGTTTAGACCTGGTTTAGATCTAGTTTAGACCTGGTTTTAGTCCTGGTTTAGACCTGTTTTAGACCTGGTTTAGACCTGGTTTAGGTCTAGTTTAGATCTAGTTTAGACCTGGTTTAGATCTAGTTTAGACCTGGTTTTAGTCCTGGTTTAGACCTGTTTTAGACCTGTTTAGAGGTCTAGTTTAGATCTAGTTTAGACCTGGTTTAAGTCCTGGTTTTAGTCCTGGTTTAGACCTGGTTTAGATCTAGTTTAGACCTGGTTTAGATCTAGTTTAGACCTGGTTTTAGTCCTGGTTTAGACCTGGTTTAGACCTGGTTTTAGACCTGGTTTAGGTTTAGTTTCTAGTTTAGACCTGGTTTAGATCTAGTTTAGACCTGGTTTTAGTCCTGGTTTTAGACCTGTTTTAGACCTGGTTTAGGTCTAGTTTAGATCTAGTTTAGACCTGTTTTAGTCCTGGTTTAGTCCTGGTTTAGACCTGATCTAGTTTAGACCTGGTTTAGATCTAGTTTAGACCTGGTTTTAGTCCTGGTTTAGACCTGTTTTAGACCTGGTTTAGACCTGGTTTAGGTCTAGTTTAGATCTAGTTTAGACCTGGTTAAGTCCTGGTTTTAGTCCTGGTTTAGACCTAATTTAGACCTGGTTTAGATCTAGTTTAGACCTGGTTTAGATCTAGTTTAGACCTGGTTTAGTTTCTGGCAATGAGTGGAATTATCGAAAAAAAAAAAAAAAAAAGGGGGGGGGGGGGGGGGGGGGTATAGCCCAAAATGTGAAAACAGGAAAACAGGAAAATACTGCTGTGTAATCCATTTATTTCAACAAAGAAACTGTAATCCAATTACCACTCACTGAAACAGTAACTGTAACTGAATACAATTACTCATAATTTGTACTCTGATTACGTAACTCCAGTATATGTAATCTGTTACTCCCCAACACTGAGTGTCGGGAACTACACCGGAAGTTGAAGTTGTCATCGCATGTTTCCAACCGTCTTCCTGGTTTGTGACGTCAGCGTGAACAGAGCCTCTGGTAAACCAAAGTAAACTCATACTTGTGGTAAACAGAGACTCTACGTTGAACCCGCTGAGCCTGTATTTCCTCATATTAGACCCATTGTGCTGAGTTAACCAGGCTTACCCACATCTCCACGGCGACATGTATAAACTCACCCTTTCACGTGGCCCAAATAATGAATAAAAATGACTAAAACAGGCATGGCACAGCGAAGCGTGATTCTCACCATCATTTTAACAATTACACCACGACGCCCCGCTGATTGGACTAATGGACCGTGAAGCGTTTCTGTATCTTTTTGACAAAGCTCTGCCTTCCTCCAGTAATTACCCCCATCAAATGACTTTTCCTACACCATTTTCTTAAGATTTTTTTTCTTCCCAGATCTTGAATGGTCCATTTTATCTCAAATGACCAGTGATAGTCCACAGTTTCCCCTCGACATGCTACATTAGCCCCAGCACTGACGGATATCCTCTAGCCCGATGTTCGTTAGCTCTTCGTTAATATGTTTTGCATCTGCTAATACCATTTTTCCTCTCTCTCCAGTGATCCTGCTGTAGATAAATTACCTCCAGGCTTTTTCCTCTCATTTCTTCATTGGTAATTCATATGGTCTCCTCATCGTCATAAGTCATGCTGTCGCCATAATTAGTTAACTGGGTTTAATCACACGCAAAATTGATCCCAGGATAAGTAATACTCCACACAGTCTCTACCCAACTGTGGTTTGAGTTCGCGCTCATTTGTATCTTTGTGGAGGTAATGATTTCCACCCATGAGTTTATAGCTGGAGGCATGGCTGTGTCATTTAGGTTCACAAGGACTTTTTCTAATATATTTACTGTAAATGCAGAACAGGACTAGAACCAGACCAAACCAGAAAAAAAAAAAAATAAATAAAAACTATAATCCAAGACTAAATCAAAGCCCCGTTTCCATGCACCCTGAAAAATACTGGGTTAAAATAACTGAACTTTTAACCCAAAGTTCAGAAGTTAAAAAGTCCAGTATAGACCGAGCCAACGGGTTGAGTTACATGATTTGACCCGACATGTTTGTTATATTTTCCACCCAACATTGGGTAATTTTAACGAGTGCTGTCAAGCGACTAAAAAAATTGAGAGTTTAATTAATTATGATCTGTAATTAATTAATCTAATTAATCTCTTTTTTAATCTTACCTAAAAATTGCTGAGAAAAGCCTTCAACTAGAGGTATTTTCATTTGAATTCATTATTATTATTATTTTCATACTGTCATTAACATTTTTATATAAGTATCATCATTATTATTACTATTACTAATCTGCATAAATAAACTCAACTTTACAACATATAAACCATCACCACTCTAGAGCCACATCAGCCCGTTTGACATTAGAATATAATGTGTTTAATGCAGATTTGCACAAGTCTCACAGAAACGACACTTAAAAGTGCATGGCTCATTTGCATAAACTAAGCGAAAAAAAAAAAAAAAAGCTCTTGTGCACTGATGCGGTTCAGCTTCTACTCAAGGACATGACTCAGTGGAATATAGATGTTCTCTCTGTGACAGAGGGATGTTGATGGTGAAGGTGAGTCTGTTCTGTGTTTGTGTCGCGATGTTTTCAGAGATCAGACGTGTGCAGGTTTATCGCAGATGCGGCGAGAACAGGAATGAAAATGAGGCTACAATTCTTTGCTGGAGCGAGTGGAGCAGGACTGCACAGTGCGGGACTGTGTCCTAACAACATTTAAAAACAGATTTTATAATAAATCAACTCACGTACAGAAACAGTAAAGTTAGAGATTAAAAATAAGATTAACGTGATTAAAAAACATAACGCGCTAAATATGACTGTAATTAATTAATCACAATTAACGCGATAAATTGACACCCCTAATTTTAACCTAACTATTGGGTTGAATATATTATATTTTATAAGATAAAATTCTGTTTATCTAATTTCAGTTACATCAGAGACTCATGATCAATTGAGGCAGCAAAATCTTACTTTTTTGCCCTTATCCTCTCACATATCACATACTGTATCATCAGCTGGTCTAATACATCATTCACAACAATAAAACCCATTGAATCACTCTATAAACAAGCTCTAAAAACACTTGACAAAAAAACACTACAGATACCACCATTGTCACATTGTGCAGAAATACACATTAATGACCTGGGACAATCTTATTAAATTTAAAAATGTCTGTCTAATGTACAAGATTAAACATGGCTCGGCTCCCCGTTCCCTGAATGACTTTGTTCATTTCAGATCTAGTGAGGGCAGAGTGACCAGAGGAGCAGCGAGGGAAGACTGCATTATTCCTCATAGAAAAACTGTATTTGGTCAGTGTGTTTTGTCCGTCAGAGCGTCTCATCAGTGGAACTCTGCCCCTGAAGACATCAGAACATCTCCCTCATTCTCTGCTTTTAAAAAGAATGTTAAAAAGTGGCTTTTAGAAACGCAAATGTGTGAAAACTAAAACTTTTATTGTATTGTTGTAATCTTATTGTACATTTGTGTAATTTTTCTATTAGGATGCCTTTTTGACATCTGGCAAAGGGACTACCGATACAAATGAGCTCTTATCAGCTAACTCAGGCACATTTACATTGTTTTGATGTTGATTAATGTGCATTGTCCCTTTTCAAATAAATAAATAAATAAATAATTAAGGTGAAATGCCTCTTAGATTCTGATTGTTATTCTGAACAGCTCTTGGAGTCCCAGGTCCCTAAAACAGGAAGTGGACGAGCTCTCTCCCACTGGGCGTGCGCACTCTCACCCTGCCTCTCTGCTGCTGGGCGTCTCCAAGCTCCTTTGGACTCTGCACGTTTGAGTTTGTCTTGTAGTTTTACACACACACACACACACACACACACACACACACACACACACACACACACACACTACACTACTGATAACTCCACACTCACAACCTCTTACCTTCTTTCACATCAAGATTCTTCTCAGTGAATCTTCCTTTTGTAAATAAATCCTTGTTTTGAGAACATGAACAGGCAGAACATGATAAAGACACATAGACAATTGTCACATAAAGCTTGTATTGTGTCTCTAGTGTGTCTCTGCTTCCACACACGGAGCTTTAAATATGGATGGCCTCCACACACTTGTCATATTTGATCTTATGGCTTCAAGTTGTTGGAGCTGACGACAAGCACGTGTTTGTGTTTGAATAATGACACACCCTTGTTGATTTGTCCAGAGCAGGAGCCAAACCTGTTTGTGTTTCATGTGGATAGGCCCAGTAATGACAGAGATATTCAGCAGAATATGCAGTGTGACAGTGAAACAGCACATTCCACCAGTGAATTGTGACCTGTCCTCCAGCTCACTGTTCAACTAGAAGGATCCTATAGTGTTGTGATGTCAGGTGAACACACACTATTTTACTACTTTACACTGGATTTGAGATTTGGGGACAGAAAAGGCCACAGGAAAACAAAGTGATTTATGAATTTATTGTTGATTTAAAGAGTGTAAAACCTTCCCCATTGTAGAACCAGTGTTCCCCATGATGTGACCACAAACAACTTTTACAATTATGATTCAAGTTACACATCAGAACTATGATGGATTTTGAGCAATAAAACATCTGTCATTGAATAAACACAATATAGATCAGGTTAATGCCATACTGTGGAACATTCCAGACAAAACCTCCAGCACAAAAGTTCCACAGTGAGACTTTAAAAGTGAACAAAAACACAGTGCAAATGTACACAGAGGAAACCCAGAACAAACACAGTGTGATTGGTGTTGATTGAAATGATAGAAGACAATCCGAGTTTGACATGATGATAAAGAAAAGAGTGACACAGTTCCATGACATGAGGAAGAACATGTGAACATCAAGTGAAAATGCTCTGATTTGAAACATGTTGAGAATATGTGTGTAGTTTTCCACTAATAGTGTGACAGTAATAGTGCATCATTGTGTTGTAGTGCGACACACAACATTCTGACTCAATATTATGGAACGTGTGGCAGGTTTTGTCACAAGATTAATTCTCCACATGTTTCATCAAGTTTATAAATGTTTGACAAAATAATCACCATAATGCAGCTGGAAATCACTGCTGGAATGTAACAAAGTAAAAGTAGTAAAGTACTGTACTCAAGTAAATATTTACTTATATATACTGGATACTTTTTTTTTTACTTGAGTACATTTGAGAGCAGGTATTTGTACTTTCTACTCCACTACATTTTTGAACTGAACTGAAAAGTCAAAGTATTTTTTATTATTGTCTGAGACGTTCTGAAAAGGCTGAGGGTTTATTTGAAACATGTTTGTAGTTTGAGCAAATAAAAATGTACAAATAAAAACAGATACAAAAAACAACTGATTCTATTGTTTCTGTTGAACAAATTTCAGCACAAATATTTATCAAAATCACTACATTTGAATATGTATGAGAAGCTCAAAATCTGCATAAAGTAATTTTACTTTTACTTTTAAACTTTAATACTTTATAATAAAGGTTTTGTTTTTTTTTTTTTTAACATGTAATACTTCTACTTTTATTCAATTATTTTTTGTACTTTTATTTAACCAAAGAAATCGAGTACTTTTTTCACCACAGTTGAAAATACATTTCTATATAAAAATCGATGCTAAAGATTAAAGATTGATTTTGAAACCAAAACAACAACAATAAGAAGAGTATTTCCTCAGATAAATTAGATAGATCAATTAAAAATATATATTCAGCAAAGGTTAAAAAAAAAAAAAAAAAGTTTCCCCCATTGTTTATTTAATTTAATTTTTTTTATTTATTTATTTTTTTTCAGTATTGACATTTGTTCAAATGAGAATCTAGTTTTGATATTAGTTCTAGAATAGATTAGCAGGTATCAGTATTTTTGGGAAACCCTCATAAACAGTATTTTAAACCTTCAACTCATTATTTAAAAATAAAAGGCACAAATTTAATCCAAACTGTGGAGAACAAAGCTTCTATTTGAGTTTAGGGAAATGTGCAGTGTCTCCAGGACTCCCGTACAAACACACCCCAGTGTAGAGAGGCTGAGTGAAAGTGGTCTGGACTCTGTGGAGGAGGCTCATGGTACTTTCAGAGACGCTGTAAAACGACAAAACCCCTGCACTGTGGTCCAGGTAAACCCCGATTCTGGACGAGACCGGACCTGAGACCTGGGACCAGACTGAGTTAAATATAAATGAATAACTTGTTTTGGTACAGTTTAAGGCCCAGGATTTATCATTGTTTCCAAATGTAGATTTACCAGAGACTTTTCTCTGAATATCCTTGTATGAAACTGCTATACGGACCCAGTCCCCGCTCCACTGCACCTCCCAGTAACAGCGGCCCGTCAGACCCTCTCTGCTCAGGACCTGAATACAGACATTGAATCTGTCTGGATGATCAGGATAACTCTGCTGTTTACTCATAACTGTTGCTCTTCTGTCTCCATCAGACAGAGACAGCCATTGTTCACTGTGTTTGTGTCCAGAGTGATTTCTGTAGAGTATTGTAAGAAGTCCTCTCTGGAGCTGGGTTCAGCTGGTGACAGTAAAACATCCACACGACTCAGAGCCTGTGAGACGTTGGTCAGACCCTCCTCCAGAGTGAGCTGCACTTTGTCCCTGAGCTTGGACACAGCTCTGTTCACGTCCTCAAAGTATCTCCGGGGCCGTGTGTCAATCCTGACTGGCTCTGTGCTCTGTGTGTCTGTGGACAGTGAAGTGTAGAGCTGTAGAAACTGGTTATGATCCTGGGTGAGGGCCAGTGTGTCCAGCTCCGAGAGGCTCCTCTTCAGCTCACTCACGTCCTGCTGCACTTGGTCCTGGAGCTCTTGGACTCGGCTCAGTTGGGTCTGCTCCTGGGAGCGGATCTGCTGCTCCACTTCAGAGCGTCTTTTCTCCAGGAGAAGGACCATCTCTGTGAAGCTGTCCCCGCTGCGCTGCACTGCTGTCTGGGCAGAGCGGCTGATCTCCTGGGCCTCCTGTTGGAGCTTCTTCAGGTCTGTCTCTTTGTGCTGGAGGTTCTGGAGCAGCAGGGCCCTCCTGGCCGGCAGCTCTGCCTGTCTCTGAGCCCTCTCTGCTGCAGAGGACACTGTGTCGTGGCCCTTGTGCTGGTCCACAGAGCAGAGGTAGCAGATGCTCTGCTGCTCAGTGCGGCAGAACATCTTCTTCACTTCGTCGTGTTCAGAGCAGATGTTTTCCTGGAGTGTGTGTGAGGGCGCCACCAGCTGGTGTTTCTTTAACGCTGCAGACTCATAATGAGGCTGTAGGTGGCGCTCACAGTAAGAGGCCACACACTGCAGACAGGACTGGACAGCTTTCAGCTTCCTCCCAGTGCAATCATCACAGGACACGTCCTGAGGTCCGGCATAGCAGCGGTCAGCAGGGGGCGCTGTGAGTCCAGTCTTCCTCAGTTGTTCTACTACACCTGATAACATGACGTGTTTGACCAGGGCAGGTCTGGGGCTGAAGGTGAGGCGACATTCAGGACAGCTGTAGAGCCTCTTGTGGTCCTCTTGGTCCCAGTGCTGTTGGACACAGTTCCTGCAGTAGCTGTGTCCACAGGGAATAGTCACGGGATCCTTCAGTAGATCCAAACACACGGAGCAGGAAAAGGCTTCTGTGTCGACTGCTTTCTGCGCCATCTCTCCTGAATCACAAACACTTTCACTTTGACACAAATCAAACTTAAGAGTGGAGTGAGAGCTGTGGGAGGAGCCAGACTGCACCACTGCTCTGTGTAGATGTGAGCAGGAAGCAGCGAGCAGCTCCATTTAAACACACACACACATGTTTTATTGTGGATTCAAATGAGACTCTGTCAACAGTTCAATGTAACACACACATGTTCATTGGACACAAGTCCAACAACACAAGAGATAAGAAAAGAGACGCACATCTAAAGGATCAGTGTAACTGGACAGTGCTTTGGTGTGAGGAGGCAGCTTTTCTAAACTTACAACAAATCTCCTCTTCATCAGTGCTGCTTCTAGATGAGGAAACACATGTTTCATTTAGAAAATAATGAGAATTTTATTAAGTTTTGTTTTACCAGAACAGATCCCACTATTTATCTTCTTCATCCTGGTTTAGTCTCAGGTTTTGCACTTGTTTCACACCTTTACTCTGTTCTCATATTTAATCTGTTTTATTTGTATCAAATGTTCTTGGTCAAATCATTACTTTTCTTATAATATATTTACTGTTGTGTCAGTCTAGTTTTAAATCTTGAAGCCCCAAGTGTGATGTGGCACACACCAAACAAACCAATAACATCTCCCTAAAGAAAAAAAGAAAACAAAAAGAAGGTGTTAGATTCAGGGCCTTTCTCATTTGTTTTGGACATAAATATAAAAAGTGAAATGACACAAATGTTGAAGTGTTTTAGTTTTGTCAGGTAATAGCTCCACAAACTGCTCATGTTAATCTTGTGGCTTTAAGTCCTTTAAACAGACAACAATGTACCTGAGTGTTTTCTCCTCTCATAGGCTGTGTTCACATTCTGTAATATGATGATGTTTCATCTCAGACGGAGGACAGGGGCCTATTTAACTCTCTGGGATATTCACTGTTTGGAAAGAAATATTCAAACTTATCTTCATCGTCACAAGAGCAGAGCATAAAACTTCTTTGAGACGATTTGACCAAAGACACTGAGAATGTTAAAGGAAACATTCTGTAACAGTTCGATCCAACGAACCACAATCAAATGATCCAACTGGAGGAAGGTTCCACAACAGAGACATTCACCATCATCTGCAGAGTGACAGTGAAACACAACACATCCATCCATCACGATATTTGTGATTTGACATTTTTGAGGACAGAATTAAAGGCCACATGAAAACAAAACTGCATTATGAACTTTTGACAGTTGAGAGCCTGTTGTTGCTGCATTCTCCCAAGCTTGAGAGTTCCACACCAAAGCTCAATGAAGGTGTGATATTTTCTGTTATTATCAGTGTGTTTGAAGGTTTATCCACATGTGTGTTTAGTGTTCACAGGAGCCGCAGACGCCAACAGCCGCCGCTTGAATCTACGAAAAGTCGATTCTGCACCAGGCCGAACCTGAGACCTGGAACACAGACATAAAGAACAGTTTAGTCATTCGTTTGTTGATTCCTCTGTGTTATTTTTCCCTCTTTTAAACTCAAAAGCCGCCATGTTTATTTTGACTCCAACAGACCACGTGTGTCTCTGATTGGCTGATCCACCTGTCAATCATGTCCAACTTAAATCAGGGAGACGGGGCCCACATGTCTTTGTCATGTTTTCTCATAGTGTGTGGTTGTGACAGGCAAAGTGTGTTTATTTGTACAGCACAATTCTTACACAAATGAATTCAAAATGATTTACAGAATAAGAGACATTCAAATCACAAAACAAACAAATCAAAACATAAATAATCATCATAAAATTCACATTAAAAGATAAAAGTGCAGAATAAAAGTCTTTCAGTCACATGCACAGCTCAACAGAACCGTTTTGAGTCTGGATTTAAACAGAGTCAAAGTAGAGGCCTGTGTCACATGTTCAGAAAACTGTTCCAGGTTTAAGCTCCAGAAAACTGAAACTCAACATGTTTAGTTCCTGGTTTAGTCCTGGTTTAGTCCTGGTTTAATCTGGTTTAGTCTGAGTTTATTCTTGGTTTATTCACAGTTTTATTCCTGGTTCACTCCCAGTTTAGTTCTGCTTTAGTCCAAGTTTAGTCCTGGTTTAATTTTTGTTTAGTCCTGGTTTGGTCCTGGTTTAGTCCGCGTTTAGTCCTGGTTTGTCCTGTTTAGTCCTGGTTTAGTCCTGGTCAGATGGTTCATGTGGCTCTAACTTGTCACAGATGGAGTTTGGGGCTCGGTCATGGAGACACTTGGACACAAACAGAGCCGCTTTAAAGTCTTTCAAGTGGATTCTGTGAGCCACAGGAGCCAGAGCACAGACCTGAGACCAGGATGCATGTGCTCGTACTTCCTGGCTCGAGTCAGGACCTGAGCTGCAGTGTTGTGGATGTAGTGCAGTGGTCGTCCAGCTGGTTTGGAGAGACCAGTGAGCAGGACGTTCCACTAGTCGAACCAACTGGACACAAACACATGGACAAGTCTCTACACACACTACACATGTCATTTTATTTATGTATTTATTTATTTATATTTTATGGCAGGTAATGAATATATTTATATGTCGAATTATATTTTCCACTCAACATTGGGTCATTTTAACCCAACTGATGGTTTGAATATTTCAGGTGGAATGCCTCTTAGACTGGCAGATATTTGTTCTAACCATCTTTGAAATCAAGAAATATTTAGAAGATGGTTGAAACAAGTATTTGCTAATATAAGACAGATTTTCCCATTTTAAATACTTCAACCCAATTATGTTTTAAGAATTAGACAAATATTAATTTACTAATACAGTGATTCAAACATTCACAAGATGATAACACAATTGTACTATTTTAATTTTAAACTGTTTTATTTCTGTAAAATTAGGAGTAAAAGTGATCAATACATTTTATTTATCACACCTCTAGTCTGTTGCTTCCTGTAGATCTAATTATTGATTAGTTTTTAAGGTCCACTGGTAAAATTGTTATAATTACAGACGTCATCTGTGTTTCAGTTAATTCACCCATTTGTGTAAAAATATCTGTAAAATTCCACAGAATTTGACGTCCTGTATGTCTGCAAACTCAAAGTGACGGTGATTCTAGTCCTGTGCAAATGCTCATGTCTGTAAATTAACCTCTTTTCATCAACTCCACTTATTGTATTTTTCTACAATAAAAACAGAGATTTTATTCTGACTGTTGTTCTGAACAAGTCCGGAGTTGGAGTTGGAGGCTCGTGTGTCTCTCTGGAGGGAGTGTGTCTCTGTCTGTGTAGATCTGCTCCCTCACACACTGCTGTCTCTCTGCTGTTGCTCCGCCTCCTGGTCACATGGGCCCTAAAACAGGAAGTGGACGAGCCTCTCTCCCACTGGGCGTGCGCACTCTCACCCTGCCTCTCTGCTGCTGGGCGTCTCCAAGCTCCTTTGGACTCTGCACGTTTGAGTTTGTCTTGTAGTTTTACACACTCACAACACACAACACACACACACACACACACACACACACACACACACACACACACACACACACACACACACACACACACACTACACTACTGATAACTCCACACTCACAACCTCTTACCTTCTTTCACATCAAGATTCTTTCTCAGTGAATCTTCCTTTTGTAAATAAATCCTTGTTTTTGAGAACATGAACAGGCAGGAACATGATAAAGACACATAGACAATTGTCACATAAAGCTTGTATTGTGTCTCTAGTGTGTCTCTGCTTCCACACACGGAGCTTTAAATATGGATGGCCTCCACACACTTGTCATATTTGATCTTATGGCTTCAAGTTGTTGGAGCTGACGACAAGCACGTGTTTGTGTTTGAATAATGACACACCCTTGTTGATTTGTCCAGAGCAGGAGCCAACCTGTTTGTGTTTCATGTGGATAGGCCCAGTAATGACAGAGATATTCAGCAAGAATATGCAGTGTGACAGTGAAACAGCACATTCCANCCCTAAAACAGGAAGTGGACGAGCTCTCTCCCACTGGGCGTGCGCACTCTCACCCTGCATCTCTGCTGCTGGGCGTCTCCAAGCTCCTTTGGACTCTGCACGTTTGAGTTTGTCTTGTAGTTTTACACACTCACAACACACACACACACACACACACACATACACGCACACACACACACACACACACGCACACACACACACTACACTACTGATAACTCCACACTCACAACCTCTTACCTTCTTTCACATCAAGATTCTTCTCAGTGAATCTTCCTTTTGTAAATAAATCCTTGTTTTGAGAACATGAACAGGCAGAACATGATAAAGACACATAGACAATTGTCACATAAAGCTTGTATTGTGTCTCTAGTGTGTCTCTGCTTCCACACACGGAGCTTTAAATATGGATGGCCTCCACACACTTGTCATATTTGATCTTATGGCTTCAAGTTGTTGGAGCTGACGACAAGCACGTGTTTGTGTTTGAATAATGACACACCCTTGTTGATTTGTCCAGAGCAGGAGCCAAACCTGTTTGTGTTTCATGTGGATAGGCCCAGTAATGACAGAGATATTCAGCAGAATATGCAGTGTGACAGTGAAACAGCACATTCCACCAGTGAATTGTGACCTGTCCTCCAGCTCACTGTTCAACTAGAAGGATCCTATAGTGTTGTGATGTCAGGTGAACACACACTATTTTACTACTTTACACTGGATTTGAGATTTTGGGACAGAAAAGGCCACAGGAAAACAAAGTGATTTATGAATTTATTGTTGATTTAAAGAGTGTAAAACCTTCACCATTGTAGAACCAGTGTTCCCCATGATGTGACCACAAACAACTTTTACAATTATGATTCAAGTTACACATCAGAACTATGATGGATTTTTGAGCAATAAAACATGTGTCATTGAATAAACACAATATAGATCAGGTTAATGCCATACTGTGGAACATTCCAGACAAAACCTCCAGCACAAAAGTTCCACAGTGAGACTTTAAAAGTGAACAAAAACACACTGCAAATGTACACAGAGGAAACCCAGAACAAACACAGTGTGATTGGTGTTGATTGAAATGATAGAAGACAATCCCAGTTTGACATGATGATAAAGAAAAGAGTGACACAGTTCCATGACATGAGGAAGAACATGTGAACATCAAGTGAAAATGCTCTGATTTGAAACATGTTGAGAATATGTGTGTAGTTTTCCACTAATAGTGTGACAGTAATAGTGCATCATTGTGTTGTAGTGCGACACACAACATTCTGACTCAATATTATGGAACGTGTGGCAGGTTTTGTCACAAGATTAATTCTCCACATGTTTCATCAAGTTTATAAATGTTTGACAAAATAATCACCATAATGCAGCTGGAAATCAGTGCTGGAATGTAACAAAGTAAAAGTAGAAAAGTACTGTATTTAAGTAAATATTTACTTATATGTACTGGATACTTTTTACTTTTTCTTGAGTACATTTGAGAGCAGGTATTTGTACTTTCTAACTCCACAACATTTTTTAACTGAACTGAAAAGTCTAAGTATTTTTTATTATTGTCTGAGACGTTCTGAAAAGGCTGAGGGTTTATTTGAAAACATGTTTGTAGTTTGAGCAAAAAAACATTTACAAATAAAAACACATACTAAAAAAATGACTGATTCTATTGTTTCTGTTGAACAAATTTAACACAAATATTTATCAAAATCACTACATTTGAATATATATGAGAAGCTCAAAGTCTTTGTGATCTTCTTTTACTTTTTACTCTTTAAGTACATTTTAAACAGGTACTTTAATACTTTAGGAATCATCTCGAGGTTCACAAGAGTGATAGGACACTGCACACAGTTGTCAAACACACAGAGGTTATTCAACAAGTGACAAGTGATTGGTACATTATAAATCAAAGAATTGTAGTACATAAATGGTTAACTCATAGGCATAGAATATCACACAAGTATTTAGCAAATATGGGATAATAAAATTATTCTGACTGTGGAGAACAAAGCTGCTATTTGAGTTTAGGGAAATGTACAGTCGCTCCAGGACTCCAGTAGAAACACACCCCAGTGTAGAGAGGCTGAGTGAAAGTGGTCTGGACTCTGTGGAGGAGGCTCATGGTACTTTCAGAGACGCTGTAAAACGACAAAACCCCTGCACTGTGGTCCAGGTAAACCCCGATTCTGGACGAGACTGGACCTGAGACCTGGGACACGACTGAGTTAAATATAAATGAATAACTTGTTTTGTTACAGCGTAAGGCCCAGGATTTATCATTGTTTCCAAAGACACATTCATCAGAGTCTTTTCTCTGAATATCCTTGTATGAAACTGCTATAAAGACCCACTTCCCGCTCCACTGCACCTCCCAGTAACAGCGGCCCGTCAGACCCTCTCTGCTCAGGACCTGAATACTGTAATTGAATCTGTCTGGATGATCAGGATAACTCTGGCGTTCAGTCATAACTGTTGCTCTTCTGTCTCCATCAGACAGAGACAGTTTGATTTGAGCTGTGTTTGTGTCCAGAGTGATTTCTGTAGAGTATTGTAAGAAGTCCTCTCTGGAGCTGGGTTCAGCTGGTGACAGTAAAACATCCACACGACTCAGAGCCTGTGAGACGTTGGTCAGACCCTCCTCCAGAGTGAGCTGCACTTTGTCAGTCTTCCTCAGTTGTTCTACTACACCTGATAACAGGACGTTTTTGACCAGGGCAGGTCTGGGGCTGAAGGTGAGGCGACATTCAGGACAGCTGTAGAGCCTCTTGTGGTCCTCTTGGTCCCAGTGCTGTTGGACACAGTTCCTGCAGTAGCTGTGTCCACAGGGAATAGTCACGGGATCCTTCAGTAGATCCAAACACACGGAGCAGGAAAAGGCTTCTGTGTCGACTGCTTTCTGCGCCATCTCTCCTGAATCAGAAACACTTTCACTTTGACACAAATGAAACTTAAGAGTGGAGTGAGAGCTGTGGGAGGAGCCAGACTGCACCACTGCTCTGTGTAGATGTGAGCAGGAAGCAGCGAGCAGCTCCATTTAAACACACACACACATGTTTTATTGTGGATTCAAATGAGACTCTGTCAACAGTTCAATGTAACACACACATGTTCATTGGACACAAGTCCAACAACACAAGAGATAAGAAAAGAGACGCACATCTAAAGGATCAGTGTAACTGGACAGTGCTTTGGTGTGAGGAGGCAGCTTTTCTAAACTTACAACAAATCTCCTCTTCATCAGTGCTGCTTCTAGATGAGGAAACACATGTTTCATTTATATTACATTGCGTTTTGTTTCACCAGCACACATCTCTTTATGTATTTGTTTTGTATGTATATGTTCTGTTCTCATATTCAGTGTAAGGCTGATGGGCTCATAATTTCCTTTGTAAAAAAGTCCTTTTCCTTTCATATTTCCAGACCAAACCTGGCTCAAGATATGGAAATAATTTGTTCTCTTCATGTGCTGTTACATGAATCACATATATACAAAACAAACAAACAAACAAACAAACAAACAAAAAAAGAATAAAATGTAACTTATAAAAAAAATTGATAAAAATTTAAACCAACCAAAATAACAAAAAAACCAAACAAAAAACAAACAAAAAACCCACCAGATCTAAACCATGGCTACATACGGACTAAACTGGAACTGAGCTGAAATGAGTTTTTGACATAAACATTATACAGACTCTTTGCTTTGGTCTGAGCTCCTGTGAAGAGGAAGCAGTGTCATATTTCAGTTTCTCCTCCCTCGGGATGCCTGCCATTCCTTTCTCCTCTCTCTGTTTTCACTCCTGTCTTACCCGCACTATCTGCACCGTCTCCACTGTTATCAAAAACATGTCTTATTAATTAGTCCCAAAAGTCCAAGAGAAGTTGGTGAGAAAATGTTCTTTGCTACTCCAGACGGATAGGTGGGCTTGGAAAAAAAATACACATATATATGGTTAAAGGTGCACTATGTAACTTTTCTGTAGGGGAGATCATGAATGGAGATGACACTGCTTTGCCAGAAATGTTTTATCTACATGTTTTTCTTTGTTTTTTCTTTCTACCATGCTGTAATGTTGTCTCCCTCTTCAAAAACATGCCTGAAAAGGTTTAAACTGTGATCCATACATGTTTTGTTAATTTAGCGATCTCTCCTGAGCCCTATTCAAACCCTCCGTATGGTTATTTGTGAAATTCTGTGCAATGCTCCGCCCACAAGCCCACCTCACCCATGCTCCCACACGACATTTCTCCATAAATCTACAAAAACATGATGCAAAACAGCACGTTCAAAACAATAAAAGGTAACAGTGATCTAAATATATTATGTGTTGCCTGATTCTCGCGGCATGAGGATTCGGTACTTTTTTCATTTAACCAATCGCTGCTATTTGGTCGTGACACAATAGCTTTTCCCAAATCCCATAGGAAGAAGGGCAATAACGTCTTTCCCCTTGATAAAATTCACCAAACATTCTCTTTGTTCCAGCTTTATATCCTCGATCTCGGGAATCGTTGACAACACATAAAATATGGCTCTTCGATAATTGACTGGTGCCCGAACTTGCACTTCCAGGGTTCTTGCAAATCGTCTAGTGTATTTAGATTCCTGACCTAGTTGCTGGAGAGAAATTAAATTGAGTGGAGGCACTAGGTGGCGCCGACCTGGCTAAGTTAATACCCCATAGAAGTAAAAGATCCCTTGTTTAACCTGTCTATCTGGCATGAGTAAAATCCTTCAGTCGTCCAGGAAGAATCCATGGCAAAAGCTTCAATTTGTCAACTGGGCAAAATTACGTATTTGACCAAAATAAACTTTAGTCCAGTTGACAAAATTCCTTTTGCCTATCTATCTTGCATTTATTCAACGAGTTTCTATTGTTGAAAATGACCTTGGAAATCATTCATTCTCACTGTGAGTCTTGCCTCTCCACAGATCTGACCTGTTGTTTTGGCCTAGTGGCATCATCTTCTTGTCTCCATGGAGATACGATGTCTGTGTAATCCCTCAGTCGTCCAGGTCAGATCCATAGCAAAAGAACTGGACAAATGTTTTCTTTTTTTTTTTTTTTGGAACTTGCAAATGAAGCAATAAAATGTCAAGCAGGTCACAATCGTACTAACAAACAAGTTATGCAGGACACTTTCATTTTGTTTTTAATGCACTGATATTAGTACATGTATTTACTGAATCATTTGGAGAATCATTTTTTTAATTTAAACTCAGATTAGTTATAATATTATCAGTTCCTTGATTTGGACTTGACTTTATATTTAAAAACATAGAAAATCTGGTGAAATTCTGCATAAATATCCTTCCTAAAACACCACATAAATCAAAGTGTTCCAGTCAGCCTGAGAATCAAACCCACAACCTCTTAATGCTCCCTGAATTCTCACTGTGAGTCTTGCCTCTCCACAGATCTGACTTGTTGTTTTGGCCTAGTGGCATCATCTTCTTGTCTCCATGGAGATAGGATGTCTGTGTAATCCCTCAGTTGTCCACGTAAGATCCACAGCAAAAGAACTGGACAAATGTTTTTTTAGTTTTTTTAAGTGAAGATATTTTGCAGCTCATCCAAGTGGGTTATTCAGATCTGCTGAACTAGTGAACTCAAAAAAACTTGTGTCCAGTTGACAGAATTTTTCTTTTGCCATCCGTGGAGATAAGTTTGTATTTGGAATACTGTGGAAGATTTCAGGCAAAGGGTTAGGATTTGCTCAAACCTCGCTGCAATCTGACAGTGTCATCAGACAATGTGCACAAAGTTAAATCTATCATAGTGTAACAAAGCAGACAATGTGGGCAGAACCGATAATCTAAGAATTTCATTGTATTTGTAAATGTCTTATATAACACAAAATTGGCTCTTGTGAGATTTAACCCACGTTAGAATGTCGTGACCTCCTCAGAAACATACCCAGAGTCGTGTTTTGTTTCATTCATACATTTGAGTTCCACATTTGCCCCGTTTAATGAGAGCTTTAATTCTGATTAAAAAATAATTTAATTTGGAATAAAAATGTATTCCGCTTTAAAAAGACCATGTAAATACTTAATTCCTAATGATCATTCAGAATAAAACTTAAATCTGAATTAAGTGGGTGGTTTATTCTGATTTTAAAGCAGAATTATTTTATTCCACTGTCAGGAAAATGTTTATTCCTCTTAACACATAATTCCGACTGTTCAGCGTGCAGGATCAAACTTCTGACGTGATGATGCACTACAATATGGTGAAAAATGTTTGTATCATGTTTGTGTCCTCGTACCTCTCCTCTTCCTGGTGCCTATGTTATTTGCAAAAGGTACCGAGGTTCCCCGTTAACACCGCGAGCCGTCCTCATCCCGAGTTATCATCATGAACTCATAAAACAGCAGCATGTGGCCTAGAACTTTATACAACTCACTGCACATCAGCCCGGAGCAGAAGCTCTGAGGTCGCATAACAGAGGTAAATATACGGGGAAATTCATCATAATGTGCAGCCCCTCTCCGAGTGGGCTGGTCAGATAGATCATTGGCTCCGTCCTCCATGTGCTGGTTCCAGACGAGGGCGAGCAAGACCACGCACGGGATCCATGTGGTGAAAGTGAAAATGCACTGTGGCTGCTCCTGTCCTCCGTGCTTGAGGAGCTCGGCTGGTACCGAAGTGGTGCAGCATTCAGACAGAAGCGTGAATCCCGTTTGGTTCATTTTATCTTGTTTTGAGCGTCTGTCCTCTGTGTTCTTAGTTCTTCCCCAGGGAAAGTGCTTCTCAGGCCGAGGCACCTAACACCACTCCCCGCTCCATCTGATCTGGGCCCGACCTGCGGTACACATCCCCATGCGTAACAACAAACCGAGATGAGAAAAAAGCTGGTAGCAGCTGAAGTGTGTGTGTTTTCTTCCGGTAGACGTAAATACATTCGTGTCTCTGTCCAATCAGAACCCTCCCCCACCGCCAGACGTTGGGCAGAATTAAATAAAGCCATGTAAACCTTCATTTGAAATTATTATTTCCTTGTAAACTCAAATGAGAATAATTTAATTCCCAATTAATTAATTCGGAATAATTAAATCTGAATTAAAAAACATCATGTAAACGTGGCCATTGTGATGTGATGTAGGGGTAGTTTTCAAAATTAACAGCTACATTTAACCTTTTGTTCAGTAGAGACAGTGGGGCACTTCCTGTATTAGTGTGTTTTGAGAGAAGAACTCAGCCTAAATATGTGGGATTTGTGTGTTAAACCTGTGAATGGAACAAAACAAAACACAATTCCAGGTATGTTTTTGATGAGCAAACAACATTATAACATAGAACATCAGAAAATAGTGTAATTTAGGCCCTTTAAAGCTAAAAGTTGTGATTTTGTGATCTAAAAAAGACAAAAAAAAAAAAACACAAAAAAAACATTTTAATTCTCAAAAATACCATGAAATAAAAAAAAAAAAAAAAAGATGAAAATGTGAATGAAAATGTGCTTATAGCAGAGTCAATGGTGAAGCTTTTTTTTTTTTTTTTTCTTATCCTGAACTATTATTCCACCCTATAGGAAAAGCCCACCACCGCCCAGCTAGGATCACTATTATTTGTTTACTACATGCATTATAGATAGTCTGCAGTCAATACACAGCATACATTTTCCACAGGCTCACTTGATAGTCCAGAGACCAGGATGGGCCTCGTATGAAACAGCTTGTCTCAGGTCTACAGGGGGGAGCTAAAAGGGAAACCATTTTGTAGTCCATATTTCGTGTGTGTTTTCGCGGCGTTCGTTCCAGTAGCTCCGCATCATCTCTCACCCTGAAGCATGAAACCACTTTGCAGGTTTGGGGAGCACTTTGAAATAATATGCTGAGGTGTGGTGAATTCTGCAGGCTGGAAAAGACAGAGGAGGAGGCCGGCGTGGAGCTCATGCATGTTAACAGCACAGAAGCGACGCCGAGTGAAAAGAACTGTAAGCATTATATTCTGTCTCATCGAA